TCGACGAACACTAATGTGTTCGTCGACGCCCCGAGTCGAACACGACCGCGTTCGCGTTCGACGTGGCTCGGCCAGCAGTAGGTGGCGAACACCGAACGTGTTGGGGCGAACATCAAACACGTTCGCCATGAACATTTTAAGCCAAAAAAGGGACTTCGAGGCGAACCAAACAGGTGTTCGTTTATGTGCTCAATCCTACACATGACCACATACACTGCACTGCGCCACCCTTCTTTTCCTGAAAGGCCACCATATTCGAGCTAACCATGTCCTTGCAGCATCACCCTATCTCAGCTTACATGTACTCTAGTGAAGCAAGGTTTCCAATCCCAGCAGGAATAGGCCCAGAAAGATTGTTCGACTTCAAGTTTCTGGCACAAGGGTGGGAATTGAACATAACAAATGCTTAGTCTCATGCAGAATGCAGTCAGAGAAATAAAGTAATATAAGCAGTTAGTCCATCCTAACAGGGAAATCAGAAGTGGGACAAACAGAAAGATGCACATTGTGTAGTGGGTGGAAGGTGGAAAGAGAGCACTAGAGACACAAGGATGATGCATAAGCATGAGAGCAATGACACTGATTACGATCCAGGCACATGACCACAGGCACTCCAACGCCCTTTTCTTTCTGAAAGGCCACCATATGTGAGCCAACCAAGTGCTTGATACATCACCCTATCTCAGCTTACAGGTACTCCAATGAAACCAGACTTCCAATCCCGGATGGAATAGGTCCATTGAGCTCACAAGATGTCATAGATCTGGTTTCACGGGATGAAAAATGGTTATGCGTTGCACTCTTGTATGGAACAGTAAACACAGTGTTATAACCTTGTGTGGAGCGGAAGACTTGCTAACGAGTACAAGCGCATACTTCCATCTTGTAGCGCGCAAGAGTGTGGGAGGCGAAACAACGGTGCAACGAATGAGGCGTGTCACCATTGCGTTGCCACTGCCTTTGCTGCATTTTTGGCACTTATCATTTACAAACGTGCCATTTATCTCCACTACCAAGCTTCCTCTGCCGGGAACTTAGTTGGATTTGACGTTAGGAAGGCCTTACGTCCAGCGTCAACACGGTACGTTTTCACCCTGGACGTTGAAAGTATGTTTTGACGTTGAACGCTGACAAAAAAAAGGGCTGCCCGAAAAAAAAAATGCCCAAGGGTAAAAAATCCACGAGAAGAGTGAGAGGGGAGGAGAAGGGGAAGGACAGGGTGTGCAGAATGAGTGGAGAGAGGAGGGGCATGGGGGAGAGAGAGAAGAGGCGTAAGGGAGAGTCCCCCCCTCCCCCTGTTCCCCCCCCCCTCCTCCCATCCCCCCCTCCCCCCGTTCCCCCCCCCCCTTCCTCCCCCCTCCCTCCCCCCTCCCCTTGTTATTTTAAACGCTATCTCCGTCAAATCCATCTAGGGCCAGGAATTTAGGTAAGCCCGAACACACGAAGAAAAGCAAGCTTGTCAATTCATGCGAGATTCTTACAGTTTCATAAGAGAAGTGAGCAAGGAGATGCTATCACGAATAGACCCTCCAAGACTTGTGGGCACCACATATCCCGATTCATATGGGTAGGGATCAAAACTAGGACCCCTAAAAGGGTCGGCGGGATCAAAATATTCCACCTCGCACAAAAATCTGTGTGGGTGGGTGAGGGGATTAAAAGAAGTGAGAAGAAAATTGGACAGGGACACAAGTGATGCGAGGACTGGACACAAGTGGTATCAAACATAACAAATCCTGTTGCACATCAATGGCATGGTATGAGATCCAAAGAAAAGCAGACATACACTCTCATCTCGGTGATCATGCCTGAACCGTCACACATGAGAAATTCAGCATTGGCACAGTCCGCACCAACTTCCCAGTTTACAAACGTCTGATTCCAGGCCTTTTGACTGTCTCTGAGAAATACCGCTGGCAGGGCACAAGCAAGGAGAGAGACGAAGGGAAGCACAAGGTAGTGAGCAGGTAGCACCTAGCAGGTGCATTACTTCGTTTCTAATATGTAGAAATACTACTGCTGAGATGTACAAATACTGCTGAGATGTACAAATACTGCTGAGATGTACAAATACTGCTGAGATGTACAAATACTGCTGAGATGTACACATACTGCTGAGATGTACAAATACTGCTGAGATGTACAAATGCTGCTGAGATGTACAAATGCTGCTGAGCTGTACAAACACTGCTGAGCTGTACAAATACTGCTGAGATGTACAAATACTGCTGAGATGTACAAATACTGCTGAGATGTACAAATAATGCTGAGATGTACAAATACTGCAGAGATGTATAAATACTGCTAAGATGCACAAATGCTGCTGAGATGCACAAATACTATTTGCACATGTTATGGATAAACAAGAACGTCCTTCTGATAATGTGAGCCACAGATCTAGCAGCTGTGAGGCTTGAAGTGCAAGTGAGGCAAGAATTTAAATGCATTGCAGCAGTGCAAACCACATGCGCATACTCAGTGCTGCCTCCTGTGAACTGAGATACGTGCTAGCACTACGGGGAGTTGAGTAACTTGAGAAGCATTTGTCGGTATCACCTACACCTGTGCTGGCGGGCTGCTATTACTTTAGGTAGAATTACTTCTAGTTGTATACTTCAGCACCCGTGAGACAAACTGAGGGAGCAAGGAGGTACTACCTTGAGAAGCGTTGATCGGCTGTGCATCGCACGGCGCGAAGACGAACCCGGCAGCCCAAAGCACGGCGGCGAGCGCCGCGAATTACCTATAGTCGTATTGTGGAACGTTAACTTCTACTACAATGGGGGCGCTCAGCATGAGCGCGTGCTATCATGATTATATTAGTCCTGAGGAACAAACGTGAGAACCTACCATGCTTCCAGCATGCTAACTCTTGACTTGAGAGACGTGCTGCACCCTGCTATAGTATTTCTGAGCAATCATAAAAGGGTTCCAGCATGGATTTTGCTACTTGGCATAATAGGGCAACTAGTCTACATGACAAGACTGCGTCAGCTTGGTTTTTCTGCCTCTCTTGGCTGACTAGGTTTAGAAAGCGGGTTGGGGGAGGAGGGGGGAGGGGGACTGGGTCATTGGCAAATTTGGTCCAGATTGGAAACTGGACCGTCGATGACAACTGCTGGGAACGGTGCAGATTATACCTCAGATTTGGGTTCCAGGTTGGAATGACAATCGTGGAGGGGATCCGCTGTACGATAAGGATGTGATCGGAAAACTGGCGTTTCAGCCGTCGATCTTTCAGATGTTAATGGCTCAGATCGAAAGTGACGTGTGTTCGGTTGGAATTTCAGCCGTCGATATTTGAGATACGGAGATACCCAAGATCCTTATGCTCTCATTGACTGGATTTCGAACCACTCTGATTTCAGGCGAGGCAGAACCATGTACCCCAAATTCGAATCCAAGCACCTCACCAGTTTTCATTTTCCTGACCTGCTAAACATAGACAGACATTTGGTTAGCCATTTCGTCAGGACGACTCACAAGTCTTGTGTCAGTATCTGTGTGCGACGCTACCCGTATGCGACGCGACCTATAAGCGACGCTACCCGTATGCGACGCGACCTATAAGCGTCCCTACCCGTATGCGACTCGACCTATGAGCGACGCTACCCGTATGCGACGCGACGTATAAGCGACTCTACCCGTATGCGACGCGACCTATAAGCGACGCTACTTGTGTGCATCGCTACCCGTATGCGACGCCACGATTGGATTGCGCTGCCTGATTCCAAGAGTCCATCCGCACCGTTGAATGATGCCGGCCCGCGCCGCTGGATGGGTCGCACATTTACGTGGTGCGAAACGGATATGGTACGGGCATTTGGATAGCCGTTTGGACGACTCGAAGCTCCCGGATTCGCTATCCGCGTGCCACACTGTCTGCGCGCGACGCTCTCTGCGCGCGTCACAATCTGCATGCGACGCTATCCGCGTGCGACGCTATCCGCGGGCGACGCTATCCGCGTGCGAAGCTCTCTTCGTGCGACGCTCTCTTCGTGCGACGCTCTCTTCGTGCGACGCTCTCTGCGGGCGTCACCGCTCCTGCGCGCGTCGCTTTCCGCGTGCGACGCTATCCGCGTCCGACGCAACCGATAAGCGACGCTGCTTGTGTGCATCGTTACCAAACGATTTCTCCATGCATATGCTTTCATTTCCCCGCTTGCTTCTTCCCTCCTCCAATCTGCAGGTGCGGGGGTGGGAGCCCGTGCGCTGCTTTGGCGCGGTCAGCATGGGGTGGTGGACGGTGCGAGTAACACTCCTCATTCTTCACCTCTCTTCACCTCTCTCTACCGCTTCACCTCTCTGCAGGTGCGCGGGTGCGAGCCCGTGCGCTGCTTTGACACGGTCAGTGTGGGATGGTCCAAGGTGGTATGAAAATGTTTTATAGATAATGCGCTATACAAAATTATTGAAGCAATATCAGACAGTTATCATCTCAGCTTGGCCTGGCCTACCTTAAACCAAAACATTTATTTTCTCCAAAGGAGCGTCAGCTTACAACCCCTACACCTCTCACATTGTGTTAATTTGCCTTGTTTGATTGGGTGTAAAAACGGTCATTGCATCTTCTGCATACGGTATGCACATATGAAGCAAGGGGAGTGAGTGGCAGTGTGAGCAGCAGTGATGGGACCACTGAACGCCCTCAGCAGCTCACACCTCCCCCCACACCGCGTCATTGCCTAATTCCAGGAGAGTGCGTGGCATGCGAGCAGCAGTGATGGGCCCACTGAACGCCCTCAGCAGCTCACACCTCCCCCCAACACCGCGTCATTGCCTAATTCCAGGAGAGTGTGTGCCGGTGCGAGCAGCAGTGTTGGGCTCACTGAAACCCCTCAACAGCTCACGTAGCAAGGACAGCTCCTTTCCGACGGGCCACGTACCTGTGAGGGGAGGGAGGGTGGAAGGATGGAGAGAGGGAGTAGTGATGGGTGGGAGGTTGGAAGGCGGGACAGTGATGGGCTGACTGAATGCCCTCAGCAGCTCATGTAGCAAGGTCAGCGCCACTCACACGTACCTGTGGGGGGGGAAAGGAGAGGGAGGATGGAGGGAGGAAAGGAAGGGGGCCAGTGATGGCTGACTGAACGCCCTCAACAGACCACGTAGCAGCGACAGCGCCATTCCCATGTATCTGTGGGCGGGGAGAGGCGGGAGGAAAAGGGATAGGAAACAGAAAAGAGGAATTGACACTCAGGAGACTGTGAAGCAGTAACAGTGCCACGTCAAATGCATTCGGTGGGAGGGGGAAAGGAAAAAGGGTGTAATTGGCACTGCACTGGGTGAAAGAAAGAAAGATTGCGTCAAAACATGCCCTTCGCTTGTAGTGTGGACTCTGCTTCACATTACAACAGACGGTGGCAGAGGCCTGGGAAAGCAAGGCAAGACTTGACCTCTCGACAGCACTGCTCAGCACCACTCAGAAACGTTCCAGAAGACACAGCACAGCAGAGCAGAGCCCTCAGCAGCGGCTGCAACTGCAAGGCCCCCTCCATGCCCACTGAGACCAGCCGCCTGCCTCCCTGCATGGCCAGCACCTCAAGGACGTCTGCCACCACCTGAGGCACAGGCGAATCAGGAAACAGAAAGGGAATGAAAGCCGGGAGGGCAGTGAGTGGAGCCCACTGATACCTCTTGCCTGCCTCCCTGCATGGCCAGCACCTCCACCACGTCTGCCACCACCTGAGGTATGGGGATAGGGAGGGACAACGAAGGGAAGATAAGGGAATGAGAAGGGACTCAGCAGCTGCAAGGCTCCTTCCATCCCCAGATTAGACACGCCAGCCGCCTGCCTCCCTGCATGGCCAGCACCTCCAAGACGTCTGCCACCACCTGAAGCACATGGGGGATTGAGGGAAAAGAGATGGGTACACCCTTCATAGCTACAATGCTCCTTCCATGCCCACCAACACCAGGCGCCTGGCTGCCTGCATTGCCAGCACCTCTTGCACGTCTGCCACCGCCTGAGGTGTGGGGGATGGGGAGGAAGAGAAAAGAGTGCAACGCCAGCACCTCTTGCACGTTTGCCACCACCTGAGGCACACAAGAGAAAACGAGGGAAGCAGAGGGGATTGGAAAAGAACACAGCAAGTAGAGCAGTGGCTACAGCCCTCAACAGCAGCACTGGGTGCTGAGGGGGCAGCACCGGGTGCTGAGGGCAGCAGCGGGTCTCCCTGTATGGCCAGCACTTTTTACACGTCTGCCACCACTGAAGTATGGGGCCAGTAAGGAAGGATACTGGAATCGGAGGAAGGGACAACGAAGGGAATCAAAGGTTCTTATGATGAGAAAAAAATCAACGGTCTGTGGGTGCACTCAGAGCAAGGTCCTTCGAGGCGGCGAGGGTGGAGAGGGCGGAGAGGGCGGAGAGGGCGGAGAGGGCGGAGAGGGCGGAGAGGGCGAAGAGGGCGGAGAGTGTGGGCAGGTGTGCTCCTTCCACCAACAACGCTGCCACGTGCTGCACTGCAGAGCGCCACGCCTCCTCTGCAGCATGTGAAGCATTGCAAGGCCCTCGTGGTCTCAGTGCGAGGTGCTTGTGCTTAGGGCAGCGAGGGTAGAGAGGGCAGGCAGGTGTGCTCCTTCCTTCCACCTACAGTGAAGCCACGCTGCAGAGCGCCGCCCCTGCAGCATGTGCTGCAAGGCCGTGTGCTCCCACGCTCTCATTCAACAAATGGTCCCGCACTCATAGCGAGGTCTTTTGAAGCAGCGAGGGCAGAGAGGGCGAGCGGCAGCGCTCCATCCACCCACAGCGTCACCACGTGGTGCACTGCAGAGAGGCGCCCCTGCAGCATGTGCTGCATGGCCGTGTGCCGCCCGTTCACACTCTCCATGACCACCATCTCGTCGTCCTCCTCGTCTCCCCCCTCCTCATCTACCCCTTGCTGGTTCGATGGTAATGAGGGCTGGGAAAGAGAGCAAAGCAAATGCGGGCCAGGGGGGCAAGGGGTATTTGCGCCCTGCAGCATGTGCTGCATGGCCATGTGGCGCCCGTTCACACTCTCCATCACCACCATCTCGTCTTCCTCCTTCTCGTCTTGCTGCTCCTGCAGCTTCGATGGTAATGAGGGCCGGGAGAAGGGGAGGGAGGAGGGAGGAGGGAAGGGGTTGGGCGGGACAAGGTAAGGGTAAGTGCGTTGGTCACTGCAGCATGTGCTGCATGCGCGCTGCATGTGCTGCACGTGCTGCATGCCCGCTGCATGTACAGCATGTGCTGCATGCGCGCTGCATGCGTGCTGCATGTGCTGCACGTGCCGCATGTGTGTCTATCCCCTCCCACTCCTCTCCTCACTGCACCTAAACTCCCCACTTGCACTCCCTTTCACTCATGCAAACTCATGCACGTTCACTTTCATAGACGAATGCGGACTATTCTACAGACCAATGCGGACCAACACGGGCACTTGTAATATTAAATCAATTTCGTTGTTCCATTCCCCCTGGACCACTGGAGACAATCTCTAGGTGCATCAACTTTGTTACTCCCTTAATCCTGGCACTCCACTCCTCTCCTCTCCTCTCCTCGCCTCCTATCTCCCCGTCCTCTCTCCGCTCACCTGTGCGACTTCGTCCACATTCACTTTCATCGACCACTGCAGAACGCTCCCTGCTGCTGCCCTTGCTGCCCGTTGTTGTGCCGCTACCACCTTTGATGCTGCTGCTCTGCCTTGCACTGCTGGCACTTGTGGCACGTGCACCTGTGCTGACTGCACTTGTGGAGCCTAAGAGCGTGGGGACAGAGGACACAAGCCAATGCCTCTACCCTGCCTCCTGCTCCCCACCCCTCCAATCTCACCAGCTGGTATCAAACCCCCCCGCCCCTCCTGCTCCTCCTACTCCCCCTCCTACTCCCATTCCTCCCACTCCCTTGTCCTCCCTGCTTCTGCTAAAAGACAACGCGGCAGCAGCTCATATCTGGCTCCTTGTCTCCATCCTCCACTAGACGTGGCCGTCCTGCTCCACTCCTCCACGCTCTTCGCCTCCTCGTCTCCATCTCCCTCCTCTCGTTCCCGTTCCGCCTTCTCCTTCCCCTCCTCCTCCCCTCTCCATCCACAGCATTCGGGGCTCGAAGGCTTGGCACCGATGCCTTATAGCCCGCGTCCGCACAGCAGCAGCGCAATCGCAATGCGGGCAGCGGGCGGCGTGTGAAGGGGTCACGTTGAGCCTGAGTGAGTCCGCGGAGGGAGGCAGCAGCGCGTGGCCATGGGAAGTGAAGGGCAGCGAGCGCATGGCGTTGGGCTCCAGGAGATGCAGACAATAGAGTCACATGCATCGCACAGGCGCCAACAGCACAGGCGAACAGCAAAGGCGAACAGCAGAGACGAACGGCAGAGGCGAACGACAGAGGCGAACAGGGGAATAATGGTCGTCGAAGTACAATCACCGCGTCACTATTTTCTGTCGTAATGCAACCATGGATTCACCAAGCAATGGCTCGTCATTTGAGTCGATCCAAAAGTCACCTCTCATGGTCGTCGTAGTAACAACCACCGCGTCACTCTTTTCTGTCGGAGTGCAACCATGGATTCGCCAAGCAACGGCAAGTCTAAACGTGGATCCGTTAATCAGTCCGCGTCGCTGTTCCGGACTCGCCAGACGTCGACCGCCTTCCACCGATCCACACACTACCCGACGACCTTCTCGCGCGTATCCTCCTCCTCTCTCTCCGCGCCCCTTCCCCCTCCCTCCTCCGCTTCCCCCCCGTCTTTCGCATTCGTGCTCCCCGTGCCCTCCACTCCCCAAGCTCTTTTCCGCGCGTCGGCCCCATGACTTCGCCTCGCCCTCCGCTGTTTATTGCCCCAATTCCGCCTCCCCTTCTTATAATTATGCGTATTCCCTTGCCATCAGCCGTAAACGCAGCATAACGAATCTCCTCTAACGCGTATTTCCTTCCCCTCTCCCTCCCAGTTAATTCTGTCGAAACTCCGGTTCCGCGATTCCGTTTTGCACCATTACTGCTCGTAAATGTGCGACCCATCTAACGGCGCGGGTCAATCCTTGGAATCAGGCGGCATCATCCAACGGTGCGGATGGACTCTTGGAAGCAGCGCAATCCGATGGTAGCGTCGCATGCGGGTCGCGATGCGCACAAGTCGCGTCGCTGATGGATCGCGTTGCATACGGGTAGCGTCGCACGGGGACTAGTGAGTCGTCCAAACGGCTAGGCGCTAGCTGAATAGACTGCGCATAGCACATTAGGTGCTTGGGCTGGGATATTTTGGGGTAAGGCTCTGCCTCGCCTGAAACCAGAGTGGTTCAAAAACCCTTAGGGCGTGTCCAGCTCGTTCATTTCGGGAAATTTAGGAGCTCCTCACGATCCGGGGTTCAAAACTGATCACTGTATCTATAAACGAATACGACCTGCGTCGAGTCCACCCTTTTGTCAATTCTAGCGCGCGGACACATTCCCCCCACACGGACTTCAACAGTGCAGGGGCCGTGTGGAAACGAGGTAACCGGTTCCCTCGTCAACCAAAGCGTTGGAATTTTCGCCAAGCCAACACTTCCACTACTGGTTTTGGCGAGTGTCAGGCTGCACTGGCGAAATCGAGCGCGCGATACGATGGGCACTCACTGTAGTGGGCAGGACGCTGTTCTGTACAATTGTTCGATGCGCACGCTGATTTCTGTAACGTGCGTCGCACGATTCGAGGTACTTGCAGGGGGTGTGCCGTATCGTGAACGGGAGCTGATCGTGTGTGGCATTTTTGTAAAATTCAGTGTTACAACGCAAAATCTGGTAACTGAAGGGCTTTACGAACAGTAAATGAACGAGTTGGACACCTCCTAGTTGTGAAAGGAAAAGGAAGGATCTAGATAATCTCGATATCTCAGACATCGACGGCTGAAGTTCCAACCAAGCCTTTACTTCTGATCGTAGCTTTCTGAAGGGTCGACGACTGAAATGTCAGCCTTCAATCTCGCTGAAACTGCTTTCCGATCAATCTTGACCGTACAGCGGTTCCCCTCCACGGTTGTCAAACCAACCTGGAACCCAAATCTGAGGCAGATAATCTGCACCGTTCCCAACAGTTGTCATCGACGGTCCAGTTTCCAACCTGAACCAAATTTGCCAATAACCTCTTCCCCTCCCCCCTCCTCTCCCTCCCCCCTTTCTAAACCTAGTCAGCAAAGAGAGGCAGGCTACCAAGCTGACGCGTCTTGCTATGGAGCTGAGTTGCCCCATTGTGCCGAAGTATCAAAATCCGCGCTGGATTCCTTTACATTGCTACCGTAGCAAATTGCACATCCCTCCCTCAAGTCAAGAGTTTCCATGCTGGAAGCATGGTAGGTTCGCACGTTTTTTCCTCAGGACTATTTTAATCATGATCGCACGTTTTGATTGCACGCGCTCAGGCTGAGCGCCCCCATTTGTCTGAATCTGCTGCATTGTTTCGAGGTTCGTAGGGAGTGCAAAAATGAGTTGCGAGCGCAGCGACGGGCCCGCCCCTTTTCTTCCTCCTCCGAGACCTCTTTCCCGCATTCGTCAGTGGCAACCACTGCATATTCTTGATGACAACTCACTTTCTCAACCCGCTCCGCATTTTACCTGTTTCCCGTGATACTTAGTAGAAGTTACCGTTTCCATCAATATTAATTCGTGTGTAACATATCCCTGAGAGAGCGTGGAGGCACGTCGACGCCGCAAATGCCGCCGCCAAACCCGACTCTGATGCAGCCACGAGCATGGCTTGCGCTTGCCGCCGTGCTTCGGGCTGCTGCGTTCGTCTTCCCGCCGTGCGATGCACAGCCAATCAACGCTTCTCAAGGTAGTCACTCCGTGCACCCTCAGTTCGTCTCACGGGTGCTCTTGCTGATGCTACTAGAAGTAGTACTACAAAAAGTTATCAGCGGTGATACCGTCAAATGCTTCTCAAGTTCCTCAACTCCCCGTACTAGTAGCACGTATCTCAGTTCACAGGAGGCAGCACTGAGTATGCATGATGTTGTTTGCACTGGCTGCAATGCATTAAATTTCTTGCCTCACTTGCTCTTCAAGCCTCACAGCTGCTAGATCTGCCTCACATCATCAGAAGGACGCTCCTTGTTTATCCATAATATGTGCAAGCAGTATTTGTACATCTCAGCAGTATTTGTACATCTCAGCAGTATTTGTACATCTCAGCAGTTTTTGTACATCTCAGTAGTAATGCACCTGCTGGGTGCTTGTACCTGCTCATTACCTTACCTCCTTTCGTCTCTCTCCTTGCTTGTCCCCTGCCAGCGGTATTTCTCAGAGACAGTCAAAAGGCCTGGAATCACACGTTTGTAAACTGGGAAGTTGGTGCTGACTATGTCAATGCTGAAGGTCTCATGTGTGACGGTTCAGGCATGATCACCATTATGTGAGTGCGTGTCTGCTTTTCTTTGAATCTCATACCATGCCACTGATCTCCAACAGGATTATCATGCTTGATACCACTTGTTTCCAGTCCTCGCGTCACTTGCGTCCCCATGCAGTTTTCTTCTCTCTTCTTTTAATCCACTCACCCACCCACATAGAACTTTGTGCGATGCCGCATCTTCGGGGGATTATTACAATCCCACCGACCCGAATGGAGATTTTTATCACGCCGACCCATCCGACCCAAATTCGGGATATGTGGAGCCCACAACTCTTGGAGGGTCTATTCCTGATAGCATCTCCTCGCTCACTTCTCTTATGAGACTGTAAGAATCTCGCTTGAATTGACAAGCTTGCTTTTCTTTACGGGGAGATGGGAGGGGGGGGGAGGAGGTAAGGGGGTAAGGAAAACTCTGCCCTGTTCTTCCCAGCGTCCACTGTAACAGGGGGGAACAGGGGGAGGGGGGGATGGGAGGAGGGGGGGGGGGGGGGGGGGGGGGAGGGGGGGGGGGGTAAGGGAGGTGCTGCCCTGCTCTTCCCAGCGTCCACTGTAACATGTTCCTCCTCCTTCCCCCTCTCCCCTTTTTCCCCTCTCCTTCTTCCCACCGGCTCATCTCCCTTCTCACTCTTCACAACTTCCCCCTTCTCCTTCATCTCTCCCTTACGCCTCTTCTCTCTCTCCCCCATGCCCCTCCTCTCTCCCCTAATTCTGCACCCCCTGTCCTTCCCCTTCTTTTCCCCTCTATCGCTCTTCTCGTGGAATTTTTACCCTTTGGTTTTTGTTTTTTCGATTTCGGGCAGCCCATTCCTTTTTAGTCAGCGTCCAGCATCAATACGTACTTCCAACGTCCAGGGAGAAAACGTACTGTATTGATGCTGGACTTAAGGCCATCCCAAATTGTGCTGGTTTCGTTTCTTACGTAGGAGCAACTCTAGGGTAGCAATTCCGTAAGATTTTGAAGACCTACCTCAAAGATTGTGGCCAACATTCCTGGTTGTAACTTCGAATGTGATCGTCCCACAAGAACCTTCTTTGAAGTTGTCCTCGCCAAATCGCAGCCACACATCTTCTGGTTTTGGAGACTTACTCCCGCGTAACTTCTGCCTGGGAAACATTGGGCGTGAACTTTGTTTTGATTGGTTGCGCACTTTCATTCTATTGAATGTCGCGACACCGTCGTGAAAGTCGGTACATACACTTAGAAAATGACAATGATATTCTACAATCCTGCAATATTTACATTGTGACAATATCGCAGCAAGAGTTGGTATTGATATTTGTACACTAAAAAATTGTTGAAGTAACATGAACGAACAATGGCATTAATGTACATTAAAAAAACATTATAACGTAAATAATATATTCACGTCCTAATTTGATTCGAATTTCCAGCAATACAACTTCGGCATTAAAATGCTAAGAACGAGAGCGAAAACCCCAATATGTTAAAATAACAATACAAAGAAACGCAAAACCCAGCCAACGAAACTAAAATGAAATCGCTTCATACTAATTTAGTACGAAAACATCAACGCCAGCATGGGAAATAGGACCCTAATCCAGAGCTGCACCACGGAGAATGTTAGAGCAGTAACAGACACCACCAGAACAAGTAAAACGAATATAAAATGTAGAGAAAAGTGCACGTGAAACGGTTGCTTACCAGATACATACTAACAAGGAGCTGCAGGGAAAACAAGACAAACGAGTTGTTGATAGCAAAAAAACGAGACAACGATCCACTAACCGCAACAGAACACCATAAACAGTCTGACACGCCTAAACGATACGCCATTCACGATCTGCCAGAACATGGAAAACCACATATGAGACTGAGCCCATCAGAAAAGGCACGATTGCTTGGAACGAAACAAAAAAAGAATAAAATAATAACACAAAATCGACTTAGCAGCGCACCTCTCAGCTC